TTCACTCTCGCCTTGAAAAGGCCCGGATTATAGTCTTCGGTCCCTAGATGATTTCCAGTCCTAAGCTGTTCGCATTATAAAAGAGTTATCGAAACGCTTAGTGCGAGCTGGTGAAATGTCGACAATATAGGGATGGTACGCTAACCTGCGTCTGGTTCCCGGGTTTCAGTTTCAGTGGCATTCTAATAAAAATGCCTGAAAAACTTTAAACACTAATCCATTATTTTCCAACGTTAATAAAAAGTGACGGTGCACCGCTACATTATTATTACAGCAACACTACAACCACAAATAGTGTCCATAGATCTCGGCAGCGATAGACGGTAATTACATAATAAACAACACAATTACGTCGCTTCTAACTCGCCGCCTATCTCTGTATCGCGGAGGTCTTTACAATTTCGCACTTTGCTGATTATGTCGGTTCCCATAGTGGAAGGTGGGACGTTGGAATGACATTATAATAATAATATTATAGAGAAATCTCAATTCTATAAAAAAAATCAGTACAGTGTGATTACCATGAGTTTACTGCGTAGAAAATGTCATTAAAATGACAGATTGTACAGCGCCCCTAGCGGCTTCTTTAGAACTAAAATGTTCATAGATTTTGTTTGACGCACTCGACAGCGAGCACACACTGTGTGCTTACCATGAGTTTACGTTCTACTTACGTTCGTTTAAAACAAATCTATGAAGATTTTAGTTCTTGAAAGAAGCCGCTAGGAGCGCTGTACAATCTGTCATACATTTAATGTCATTTTTTTACGCAGTCGCTAGCGAGCACACCTAACGTAAAATTATGGTAAGCACACTGATCCTACAGCTCTTCGATAGCTAAGTAACTATCTTATATTACTACATTTATGATTAACTAGCTTAAATCGTGCTTTGTGGTGTCTTTGAGAAAGGCCTTACATTCAGCGTAGGAATGCCTTAGTTTTAGCGGGGATAGTCCCATATAAAGCATTTCCCGACAGAAAAAACACTGCCATAGGCTGAAAAGATGTTGTTACAAATTATTATTGCAAGCTTTTCCTTAGCAACCTTCCATAAAGTATTAATTTTCTTGTCATTACGATTCAAACATTAACGCCGATATTCGAAGCTGATATACATAAGTATAAGACAAGTTAAAGTTATAAAAAAATACTAACACCATATTTTTCTTCAGAAAGAACGATTGAAAACTCGTACGCAACTGATCTATTTCCGATAAAATTTTACTGTCAGTTTACACTGTGTGCCACAGACAATCATAAAGCCGTTTCATAATTGAATTTGAATTACAATATAGTCGATTTGTTACTGAAGGCGATAAAATGGCACTTGTGGAAGTATATTCGTTGTTATCTACGCTTCAGATCTTTAATTTGCCTTCACACTCTTTCTTAGTTATAATAATTGACCCGACATTATTATAAGTGCGGGAAAGCCCGCCGTCCCTCACGCAATAGTTAACGTTCTTTTTATACTGGATAAGTTTATCGCAGATTTTATGACATAGGAAAGAGTTAATTATCTCATATCACTAAATGTTATATTCTAGAGCTCGTCTTTATTTACTGTCATCGTCATGTTTGTACCGTGAATCATTTTTCAAATATAAAATATATTTTCTTCTACTTAACTTTAATTCATAAAAGGTATAATTGCGAATAAGTATGCCTTTTGCAGGTAAAGTAATCGTAACGATTTAACTTAATAAGGTTTTGGTGTTAAAAGTGCTGTAAAAGAAAAACAAGTAACGTTTCCTAAAAAAAACCTTGAGTGTTACACGTGGCATGTTTTTTGATACAATCACAACAATAAGAATATGTAACGTCAAATTACATACACTCGAATATTGTCCGTAACCGGCTTATTTTATTGCAAAATGATATAATTACTCAGACAGAATTGATATTTATTAGAGCGTGACCCCAAAATGTATACAGAAGTCAGTCGGCGCCACAAATTTATTTTAAGCAAGAAGTTATTTCAAAACCTATCAAGTGCGAAGCTGCTAGCCGCAAGAAATTATACTCAAACTATTTGCCACAATTGCATCAACAAAGACACCAATAATCGAGTTCATTAAGATACTTATCAACAATACACTCCGAGCTTACACATTACCCCTATTCAGCTTATAAAAGCTATAAAATAATGTGGCTGCACCTTTAGCCAGGCACAAAAGACTCGTGACCCACACCTTATGGCTAAATTACCCTGAAAAGGCTTATAATGGCTGTATATGAAGTTGCAACGCGCAAATTGGCCATATTGAAGTAATTGACGTAGACAAAGAAAGCTCGCCTTCAGGGTACCTGCCATTGTTTATTAATTGTTATAATGCCATTGTAGCGCTTTTATTTCCTAGTTTCAAACAAAAGGCTTATAACGGTGTTGATTGATTGTTTCGTTTAACCAAAAATTACCAATAACACCAGTGGGCTTTTAAAAATATTTTAATTAGAAACAGTCCCAACAACAAATAGGTTTTCTATTTACATTTGATGTTAATTCAAGTGAATCTAACTAACAAACAGATCGCTAAAGTAGGTAGCTTTAAGGTTCCAGACATAGACTGTCTGGAACTGTCGGTCAAAACTTTAGGCAACAATAACGCACCTATTTTACCTCAGGACAGTCGGGTAGAGACTTATACAAAATATCATCGATCCGTAGCAATTTTGCTTTGTTTGCTGTGTGGTGTATTTTTAATCTGCTCTTAATTCCTGTGTTTAACCCTTTCTTCTAACTCAGGATAGTCTGGATCTTTTACGAAACGCAACATCGATTTTGCTTTGTTCCCTGTATGGTGCATATCTATCTATCTACTCGCCATATTTTAACGTAACCATAGCCATATCGTTTCCAATCCAGTGGCCAGAAGGGAAGGCGATTGATTCCCGGGACTCCTTACACACACGCACGCAAGCATGAGATTAAAGCCAATTTCAAAGGCATTTGGCTTTGATACAATACTATATAATTATGTAATATGGTTCTATATTGGTAGTAAAACTGCTTTATAAGAGCCTATTTGCAGAATATAAATAACTTTCATGACTTTTAGTATACACAGTCATAGAAATTAGAGCCGTTTATTATGTGCAGGTAATTTCTATGGTCTCTACGAAAAAAGCTCTTTCCGTTTCTTATTTATTATTATTGGTTTTTGGGCCTTTATTTGCGCCAACTCGACCAGGTTTGATCTATATTCCGTTTCTTTGTAATGTTTTCATGTTTTTCCGTCGCCATTTAAAAATACATTAAAAACTTGAAGGACTTAAATAGGGGATGAAACCTTCTATGGAAGACTTCATTTCATTTGCTTTTTCGGGTCGTGTTAAGGACTTTCAGAAAAATGACGCACGATCTGCTCACCATATGGGAATGTAATTTGAGGTACTCATAACATCACACCCTTTACTTTAAATATTCACAAGTAATGACGTTTTTCAGTACATTCTCGTTAAACGTTAACAAGGACTAAATGTAGTCGTGACAGAGCCTTGAAAGAACCTCGTTTCGAAGAACAAATGGCAGACCCTTTTACTAATTTCTTGGTATGAAATGAAAGCTTCAGAAGATCCAGGTGTGAAATTTAAGTAACTTTCTTACAAATTGTATGGAATTTTAAGAACTTTATGAAAGTACAAGGTGTTATGTCAATTATTTTTAACAATCAGATGGAAATATTATTTCAAATGTCATAAAGAATAAGGTAGGTACTGTGTAGGCATTGAAATAATTATAAAGTCAGCTAAATAAAAGTTATTTTTAGATAAAAGTAGGTACATTAAAAACTTATGTTTTTCAATCAGGCCTTGCGTTGTCTAACATTAAATTCAAGTATACATTCCTACTGTTTTGCTGTATTGTTTTGTTTTCCAAATTATAATTAATGACACGGGAAAATATCTTTTTACATTTACAATTTTCAATCCTTTCATTTAACTTTTGACACCAAATACAAATACTGCCTAAATGGCCATTGTTTATTGTATCATGAATAATTAATAATATGGTAAAATACATAAAACGTAGCCGAAACAAATTGACTGAACATATCATTATAACGTCACTCGAGTCATGTCCCCATTTTAGTAGCAAACGTCCAGGTGCAAAAAGCGTCAAAACTTGACATCAAATATGCAACTAACAACACAATCATAGTCCAACCGATCATTACGGACAACCGACAATCTGCCAACCCTCCACTTGGAATTATTATTTATCTCGCAGGGGACGTTATGACCCCTCTCGTACAGACCAATGAAATATGCAACAAAGGGAAAACGGGTTACGCAGCCATTATGTGGCGATTATAGACATATTTATTGGACATACGGCGTCTGACTCTGAATAATTGATTGGGGGGACCATGGCGGTTCGATTTGCCGTGATTATGTTGTTGTGCGGTAAATATTTACGATTTATTATGCAAGAAGTCACGATTGTCGATGACAAATTAAAGTTTTAGTATCATTTTTTTTGTGAGTAACCACCGGTTCTTGGTATTGAAAATTTGAATGTGACACCGCCAATTTTACAGCGAATTAAATAGTTACCTATTCAATATTTTCAAAAAGACAATGAGTAGACATGATTCGTCATGGAGTATCATTGTAGAAAAATAATAGAGTACCGTTATAAAACTGAAATCTAAAGATGGACTTTGTCATTAGAAGCGACAAAACCCTAACGGTTTTGATGTCAAAGTACCGATTCGAGAATTTGATCTCCATCGACTGCTAAAATATTGTGTTGAATGAACCCACTCTTAACACAAGTTTTAAAGAATAGCTTAGCAGGAATATTAGTAAGTAGTTGTTTGTATAGACATAGACAGATATGCACATTACCTACCTTTAGTTATAATTTCAAAAAGGATTGGTCTTGGAGCCAACACTCCAAAGTCAAATACATAGATTAAACTTTGTATATTTTGATACAAAGTCTCCAAAAAGGATTGTCTCCAATGAATTCTTAAAAAAATAATCTCAACTTACCTGACGGACCTGCTTATACTGTTCTTCGAAACTCCATCCAGCTGCGCTTCCCTCCGATGATGAAGAAGATGCTGAACCGGCGGGCTGAGCTGGCGGTGGGGGGGCTGGTGCCAGGAAGGCAGGGGGGGCATAGGGGAACCCCCCCGTGGGGCCCCCTCCGGCTAGTGCGAAGACACTGTTGGGGGTTGAGAGCGGCGCCCCCTGGGCCAAGGAGGCCAGGGACGACAGGTGAGGGTGGAGGGACGACTTGAGGGACTCGAAGTCGTCGCGCACCTGCGAAAAAGAGGTAAGATTTAAAACTCCTATGTTGTCTACTACTAATCTCTTACTAATCTTTACTAAATACTACTAGTCTAGCCGTCATGATATGTACCAAAGGTTTGCCAAATTTTTATGCACGAGTTGTATGTGTGTTACATTTTCTTTCACGCCTGAAGACCTAAACGTTTAAAATCAAGACTGCACCAGTGAATCTTCGAACAAAACCAATTCCCTCTCCATAGGTCTAGCGAGATCTTACATAAATATAGTGGTGGTTCATGTAGTGACCACCCAAAGACAAATGCACGGAGTAATAGCTGAAATTGTGCTGCAAACTGCATCGACTGGTGATGCTGATGCAAGTGCTGCAGAAAACCACGCAAGCGAAGTTGAGGACAGAATCAACTTACTTTTAGCTCCCTCTCCATAGGTCTCGGCGAGTTTCTCTGGTGGTGGTTCATTTGGTGACCACCCAGCGACTGGTGTACTGGGTGGTGGCTCAAATTGTGTTGCAAGCTCTGCATCGGCTGGTGCTGCTGATGCGAGTGCTGCAGCGGCTGATGCGGCGGGTTGTGTGGGTGCTGCGCCGGCGCGTCTCGGCCTACGCCCTCGTCGGAGCTCTCGCAAGACTGCTCCCCGGACGACTCCCCTTCGGACCGCGCGGACTGGAAGGAAAATTGAATATTAGTTTCTTGTTTATTAGAAACAATTTTAAATTGTTAACCTAAACAAAGCAGCTTGATTAAATTATTTACGAAATAATGGCTAGCTAAGGTTTCAAAGTAGGTAGGTAAGGTATTTTCCGAAAATAAGACATCAAGTAAATAGAGATAATTATTACAGATACATGATAATGGCCGATGAATGAAGAATACGATATTTTCTTAACCTTGATATCTAACATTAATATGAAATAAATGAATGATAATAAAATAAGTATTCATAGTTAATAGACATCTGTTATAATCACACTTAGACGTGACTTGATCATTAAATAACATCGTGCTAGTTGCAAATCAATAGTAGATTACAATGTAAATAGCATAGACAATCAACATTAAAGCGTTTTATAAATCGTGATATTTAATGCGCCTCAGAAAACATAATTAAATTATTTACTTAAAGATAAAACGGACGATCTNACGGACGATCCAGAACAATCATTAGCAAAAAGTATAAAAACGACACGATTCGCAAACAAAGTTTTAAATTATAATACTTGTTTAACCTTCGAAACTATGAATAATCACGAACGCTACAAAATCTTAGATTAATAACTCAATAACAAATACATTGTAATCATTCATAATTAGTTCCGAGTAAATCTATTATTCCTTCGATTCGGTTTTAATCTACTTCTGTTTACATTTCAAAGTATCGATTATTAAACATAATTATTATGTGGTTTCGTAATGTTCTTCCATATAAACTGCCCGAGGTTTGGAATTATTGACGTGCTGCGCATGAGTTTTGATATAATAATGTGTATGTTTGACGACCATACAGATGGCAGGCACCACAAAAATTACCTCCTTAGGGCGTGACAGTTACATGTATGGAATTCAGGAGGGTTCGCGTAATTTTGAAATCCAAAACTTTAAATCATAATTTTACTGCGCAATTTCTATGAGTCAATCTATGTAAATTGTTTCCGTTTGCTGTACAGAAAACAGATTGACTTACTACGACATAATAATATGTCGTAGTCTGCTACCTATAATGTTTCTCGAAGATCTATTCATCTCTCTTTTTTCTGTCTACATAAGTAACTGTTTCATATTATTGGGCCTTGGTCTGAAAATACAGTAACTGCTTATTCTTATTCCAGGTCCATTTGATTCAATGAGTACATTATTTTACTTTTCAGTCGTATCATTATGATAATCATCAACTCCCTTTTCGACAATTTTCTTTTACTTTTCCTTTTCGCGTTCTTACTGCATAGCTTTAAAGTTTTGATCTGAGAAATTTGGTAATATTCGTATCTATTTTGCCTTTCATTTCAATGAAATGATACTGGTCTCAAAACTGAACCCTGAAGAGCCGATTTCACGGGCAGGTGACGTTAACCGGTCGTTACCGTTTTAAATAGTCACAAAACTCATTGCAGCTCAAAAAGTCGGAATGAAACCGGTTCCAGAATTAATGTTAGTACTTAAAGTTCCATTGGAATCAATAATAACGAAGTGAGGGCAGGCGGCAATCAAATCGTTCGCGCTGGCCGAAACGAGCGCATTTTGCGCCGCCGCTGCCCGCAGCCCTCAATTACGACATTAAAATTATTATTTTATTTCCATTTTTATTTATTATTCGCATTATTATATTGTGTGGAGTTATTATCGGTGAAATGTTTCGTTCGGATAAACGCTCGTCTGAGAGACACGCAACCCTCGCGCCGGTTTAGGGGCCAGCGGATCAAATGCGACTTCTTCAATTTCTTTTATATCAATTAATATGATAAATCAATCAATATGCTCGACTAAATCCAGAAATCCCAAAGTATGAAAATTTTCGTTGAATCTTATTTGTAAACTGTCTATTTCATCCTAGAATTTCGCGTTTTAAATCCAATTTATACACTTAATACACTCTTCAAATCCTTCTATTTTCTTTAAAAATTGGTTTTATTATTTTCCCCTATTTATAAGTATTGTCTTCCTGAAACTAGTAGGTAGCTGTATGTACCTACCTAAAGTGTACAGAACCCTTTCTCTTTTCGAACCAACTAACTTGCCGTTTCATTCGCAACACTTTCTCATGATTCCCGACTGCTACTGGATTCCGATAGCTTTTTGTTTCTTTTGTATTAATTTTAATGCTACCACAATTTCTTTTCCAGGTTATCAGGAGAAAAACTTAATTTCTTTCGTGTGAAATAGATGTAGGTAGGTGTTTATAGTTAGTTGTTAGAATGGAATCACGCATCACAGCTATCATTGCTATTGAGGAAAAATTCGTATTCTTTATAAAGACGACGGATCTCGGAAACTATAAAAAGACAAGAGTACATAATGTACTCAAACAAAAATTGTTTACTTCCTCGATCATATATCAACAAACACGACACATTATTTACCATTTACAAAACAAACCCCTTCTGGATCAAAGTTCGTCAACCTCACAATTGCGAATCACGTAAACAAATCGCTACTAAAATGTCATTATTATCATCATATGACGAACTTTAAAAAACAACACTTGCAACCGATAAGTAGGATAACGTTAGCACACTACATGCTAATGCCAACACAAACACAATCAGAGTGGGTTGACTCGTTGAAATCTCCGCGTGATTTTATAATATAATATTAACTGTAAGTTGTTTACTGGGCCAATGAAAAGGTACAGTCTGTATTAGATAAGTCAATACGACCGGAATTCCACAGCGACTTTACGTGAAGTCACTGTTGGAAATCGTACAAGTCTTGATAAATCGTTATGGAGAATTTCTTCAATCCATGTTTGCAAGTGGTAAATTTTGAAGATTTGGTTCCTAAAGATTGATTGATTCATAATTCTCGGTTGCAATCGAAAGAAAAAGTGAATCGAAAGTTTAAGCCACTCGATTATTGTTTAGACAAACAAGGAGTGGCCGCGAACGATTCTCAGAAACATCCCGAACCTATTGGAAGACCCGCCATTGATTAACGCATTAGACTCCATCGAAGATCAGATGAAAACAAACTTAAAGACAGTAGAAATTAAGTTCCAATTGAAACAATGACTCTGATTAAGCTTTCCACGTCAATGAAACCGCTGAAACTGGATCAGACAAACATAACATTAAGAAAGTGAATATAGAAGCATTATAATCAGTTGTAGACGATAACAAGCCTTAAGATGTAGAAATAGCGTCGATAAATCAAAATCAATAGCTTAGCAAATAATATGTGGCCTTATACAAAGTAACATTTGTGATAGAAATCATAATCGTGTTCATGCGAGTGTATTTTATGAGGCGAAATCAAATAGAAACTTGTAATGAAAGATGTCGTGTGCGCAGCTTGTTTGGTATGCAAAGCAAATAACAGAGGTAATAAAATATTGAGCATTAAGTTGTTAATACCAATGGAGATATCGCGGTGTGAAATTGCCAGGTGAAACTTTGAGAACTTGGCACATTAATCGTAAATCTTGGCAACAATCAATTTGATAGCAGCATTGAAGTAACTGAAATTAAGTACATTGGTATATTTTCATAGTTTCAATTTACTATATGTACTGCAAGTAATATACACTAGAAATTAACGTCATTAAAAGATACACAGAACCAAAATGATATAATATATAAATAGTTACATGTAATGTATGTATGATCTTTGCACACATAAATTAAAATCCATGCATCAAAACAAATAGAATAAAAACATGTTTCGGATCGCCAAATGTCAGACAGCGCATGTGTTGTTCTGCATCATAATTTGCATATTCGTATTGATCGATTAATCAGAATTCACTTTGATGCACAAACATTAATCTCGGGTCGCAAACATTTATAAAGCTCCCGTCCTGTCTAAACAGAAGATATTAAGCAAGCAGGACAAAGCGAGTGCATTCCAGCGGAGCTGCGCCCGCGCATCCTTCCCTGGAACATTTATTAGCGGGATCCGTCACGAGGTACTTTGTCCACACATTAGCAGAGTTAACACCCTGGATGCCTGCTACCTGCTATTTACCTAAACACATACTGGACTATCTATTTACTCAGATATCCACATCTCCTTTGCTGTTTCGAACGGCCATTGCGACATTCATTTGTGCAATGTATTGTCGAAGGGAAATCTGCCGTTGTATTTGCGTAATATTCCGAGGGAATTGCTGATTGTACAAGATGTTTTATACCAATAAGTTGTAAAGCCCACAACGCTGTGGTATTTAGCGAATTGCTTCCACGTCTTACTTAGTTGTTTATACAATCGTTTATTGCTATACGTTTGAGATTTTATTCGCTGCACTATAATTGCGTGAATCGGCGGGCAAAGGTTTGATGGCTACCTTTGTGTGACAGAATGAGAGTGGACAAAGGTGAGCCGAGCAGATAGCCCACAATGTTGCGTTACAGCCGCAGTAACATTAGCGAACGTAAAATAACCGCCAATAAGCCGAAGCACGCATCAAACCTCGACAAAGCAACAGGTTCTCGCTTCGGCAAACACGCCGTGTTTACATTACGATCCTGGGGCTTCATTTAATAATTCTCGGGAACTAAAAGCCTTTGAACATTTCATCAGATGACCCTCGCTGTTTGCACACACTCCTGCCTCGAGATGCTAATGTGGACACAAGGACCTGTATCGCCGATCGGCCTCCGATGCGTTTATTGTTGGCTCCGACTTCTTCTATTTCACTGTTCGATCCTCACCGATATCTTGTGCAAACATTCCCTCGGAATCCATCTTTATTTGTTGACCACTCTCGGAATTAATAAATCGGTGATAGAATTTAAGACAATAGAGCGGTCCGTGACAATGGAAACGAGTAGTAATAGTAAGCGGGGAAGCTTTTACTGCGGAACGACTGAGCCAGGTATTTGAGCAAAACAAAAGGTGATGAAGAGGTAAATAACCTGACCCATTGACGGCGTGACGCGGCGGCGCGTACGCACGCGCGGCCTAACGCGCTCAACAGCTGTTTAACGCCTCGAATGCTTCGCTGAAAGTATTTT